AGCACAACAGCTCATCTCAGTTAACTGTCTGATATTTCCTCACCCACAAACAGGGCTCGTTAACATCCCAACAATGTCAATTCAGTTAGCGTGGTGCATATGAGTTCTACTTTCGCCCAGAAGCTTGCTCATTTTCCTGCTCATTACTGATAGTAATCTTTTTCCCCCTTTTCACATGAAAATGTGTCCATGCTTTTGTGTGCATAATCCCAAATGTTCTGCACATTTCTGAAATCTATGCATTCTTCTTGCACGAATGAACTCATGTTTTTTACAAATAGTTTTCCCATGTGCACATGCTGTCAGTTGCATTATTTTTGGCCCAGAACTCACATTAAAACCTTGGAAATGTCTGGACTTTGAGCAGTGATTGCATCTGAGACCATGTTTGGTCCAGAGGGTGCAAACTGGAGAGAGCCAGTGCGGTGCAGTGGTCCTGAGTGCTCTGGGTTCTAGTCCCCGCTCAGCCATGGAGCCAACTGGTGACTTTGAGCCAGTCACAGACTCATCCTGTCCTACCTCACAGGGTTCTTGTTGTACGGATAAGACGGAGAGCAAGAGGAGGAGAATGATCTGAGATGCTTTGAGTTCACTATAAGAAAAAAGGCAGGCTAGAAAGCTAATACATAAACAAACTGGGTAAGTTCTGATTTTAAAAAAAGCGAAATAAATGTCTTATTTATCCCCACCTTCAGCCGAGGAATTGCTATCCATCCGCAGTGGGTGTAACACATGGCGGTGCCAGTGCTCCAAACCCAGAGTTGCACAGGTCCACCCCCCATGACTCAAAATTCACTGGGGGGATTTGGTGGCCTCCCAGCTTGGGGTGAAACATGCAATTCAGGGGTCATAAGAAACATGCAACTGATTTGTCCTGTGTGGGATGCAAAAAGCACCTTCCACGTGAAAGAGATCAGCCTTATGTGAAGCCAGAGGCACTCTTGCCTTCAGGTGCACAGCACAGGTGAGAGAGCGCATGCTCCAGTTCCTCTCTCCTGCAGGTGGGCTGCTCCAGCACGAAGGTGCCTGTGTCAGCTTGATCGCAGTGCTGAGCCCCCTGTTTTCAGACAAGCACCAGCACCAGAAGGTTCCAGCGGCTGCCTTCCCTGCCTCCAGTGGGCAGCTGCAGGAAGAAGGTCGAAAGGCCGCTGCACACGTCTTTGGGGAGGCTGCATCATGTCTGGTCACCATGAGCAGTCTCTCTGCTTCCAGCAGGCAGCTTGAACTTGTGGTCGCATTGACAAGGCTCTCTCCTTCAGGCAAGCCTCACCATCCCAAGGTCACCACAGGCCATGCCTGTCTTTGCAGAGGCAGCCTCACCTGGAAATCAGCTCTGGAGCTCACGCTCTCTCTTTCGCATGGAAAGCTCTCCTCACAGGTTACAATCAGGGAAGCAATGGATTTCAAGTTTCAGCTAATCCAGGCAACCAGACAAAAGCTTTCCTGCATCAACATGCATTTTGCCTATCAACGTACGTGGAGTTTAGTTGCTGGTTGTATCTCTTCTTGGTACTCAGGATGGACTAAGATGACCTGTAGCTGGCTCCATTTTGTGCCCCAGGAAATTATTACGGGGAGGGTGTAGCAAAGGCTCCCCAGTGGCCTATTATTTTGTAGATTGGGACATGTTTATGCCCTTGTTATGTCTGGTGTATACCTTTGAGAGGAAGGTAACTGAAATTCAGGGACATGTGTATCGCAATGGTCTAGAACAGCCTTCCTCAAGCTTGTGCTGTTCAGACGTGTCTGGTCTGAAACACCCAGAACTCCCAGTCTGTGGCCCTGTTGGATGGAGATTCTGGGAGTTGTGGTCCAAATGCCTCTGAAGGCCACCAGGTTGGGAAAGGCTGGCCTAGAACGACCAACTTCTTAGTTTGCTTATGCATACATCATGCAACAAAATGTGATCCTGGGGTGTGAAAGTCACTCTCTGGGTTTGGTATAGTAAATTATTTGCTTGTTTTGAAATAAATCAGGGTGGAGAAAATCTGGGGGATCAGAGCCCTCCAGAAATCCAGCACGGCAGCCGACAGTGGCAAAAATGTATGGAGAGCAACGGCCATGTCCTGCTTGTCCTGGCTGTGTGCCCCTTGCCTCAAGCACAGGGCAACCAGGGGAGTCCAACAGGAGAGGGCAAACCTTAAGGAGCAGCCGCTGCGGGAGAACAGAGGTGGCAACAAGCTGAATGCAGCCCACACTCTTGCATGGTGGCCTGCCTGGCATCTTCTCAGCTTCTGCAGATCCAGGCATCAGCAAAGCAGGTGATCCCATCCAGCAAGAGACCATGCGTGTATCGCTTCCATGCACACTTCCACCGGCAACTCAGTGCCAGGCAGTTCCCAAGCCCGATCTCACTGCCAGCTCAGAGTGCGCACAGCCTGCTTTTAAACACCAGGAGGAACAGCAGGGCTGGATTCCTTTCTCCTCCCTTTGCTCTCGTTCCCCTTGAACACCTGCCTGGTAGGATTTCATCTTTTTTAAAGGAGTTTTTATGTTCAGGTGCTGCAGATTTATTGACTGCATTGTGCATCATGAATGACTGCCCATCTGTGGTACAGATTCTGGTAGCACTCATTTTAAAATAAAACAGATAATAGATGCAGGAATTTTAAAGGATTTTATTAATTATTATTCAGCTGTTTGTCTTCATCTGATTGTGTGTTGTTCGGGGGGTGGTGGAAAGTGGAGAGCAATGGAGGAAATGTTGCATTATGTGGAACGCTTTCTTTTCTGTTTTTCTCCCAATCCCTCTCTGTCATTGTTAGCTAGCAATACCCTTGCCCCCTCTGTTTTTAATATTATCAGTTTTTGTTTGGAAGAAACTGCCTTAGGCATTACAACTCATCTTTCACACTGAATTAAAATATGTCACAACAGGCCTGTATATCTTATTGTTTATCTGAGCGACAAACCATTGCATTCAGTTGCTTAAATAGTCTTAAATGCCAGATAAGTAAGATTCTTTTCAATAGCCTTGTAGCCATGAGAACTCTCAGAAGGAAGAGATGAAGTCACAACACACATCAGATCGATTGAGTTAAGGGCCAGAAGTTTGCTTATTTAGATGAACTGTCTTCTGCACACACTAAGGGAGAGTCACCGGCTACTGAGGTGAAGCCTGGGAAATAATGTCTCTTGTAGTCTTGTCTCGTTTGGGCTTCCCCATCTCACTGAAGTATCCAAGCTGTCCTGCCTTTTGCTCTTCGTGGCCCACACATTCTCAGGGATGTTTTGAGCAGATGCTTGCACTGGCATCAGCTTCTCAACCAGTTAGCCTTTAGCAAATCAGTGAGGTTTCTCACAGTGAGGCTCCAAGCTGCTGCCTGTTGGCTTTCCTCTTCTTCTATCTTCAATTTTCCCTGGCATGATGGTCTTCTCCAGGGAATCTGGCCAGCTCATGGTATGTCCCAGGTACAATAGCTTTGGTTCAGTGATTTTGGTTTTGTGGGAAGTTTCTGGTATGGCAGCTAATTATTTGAGGAAGGCAACATTAAACATTAAAATTTCCCTAACCTGAACCATAACCTGAGAAATACATGAGAGCACTTTCAGTTTGCATCAAATGTGCATGCTTATGTGACAAAAGATTGTCACAAAAAGGAACTACAGAAATTCAGCTGAGGTTCAGTTCACAATGGTAACCAAAATGGCACCCCCCCCCCATTTCACTTCTTACACTTCATTGTTCTTTTTATATGCAGTATATCCTTTTCTATTTTGTGTTCCTTTTGGAATCACATGACCTAACATGAAGTAATGTGTCCAGTCCAACCATGGTAATATTCCTGTGAAAATAATCCTCAAGAGAAAGCAAGAATGAATTTCCTCTGCTGAATTATGTCACAAGCTGAATGGCTGGTTGCCAAGGAGGAGAACGTATCTTGAATATTTCAGAAGACTGAGCTCCACGTGGATTGCAACAAAGTTAAAAAAAAAAAAAACACAGACCCAAACAGCAATGACTTTATAGAGGAAGAAAAGTAATTGCACCTTGCTTTTGTGCAAAAATCCAGCTCCACTGAAGTTATTGAGCAGAATCCAACAGGGTACTTCTACTCACACCAAATCTCTTGCAGCTGCAGATTGTGCTGTGGACATGGTGTCTCCAGCGAATGCCATTGCTCTGGTGAGATCCACCACGTGTGCAAGATAGATTTATTACTTGTGCAAGATAGATTTATTAGCATAGGAAGCCCTGATTTAGACGAAATGAGAACCTCTGGACTGGGACAGTTTGGCAGAGCTCCTTTATGTGAGCTTCACCTTTCTGTCCCATTCCACTGACCTTCCTCATTGTACACCTATTGGCACCAAAACATATTTTGATAAGAGTTGGTTGACCAGAGCATTGGAACAGAGCACCTTGGGAGGTGAATGATGGGGAGGGACATATGTGTCAGTTTCACTTTCCCTCTCATCATTCAAAATTTTAGAACACATGTGCTTTCCATCCAGAATATAAAGAAATTTGGGGGAAAAATAGAAACCCCTCCTATCTAGGACCAACTGAAATAAAATCCGCGCCTTTCTGGACAGGCCAAACTCAATAGGCAAGACTGTGCACATTGGGATTGTCACGTTCTGCCAGTCCATTATGCAGCTGTAAAAGTAAAGGAGGATGTCAGAAATAGGATGTGGCACTCCCATTGCCCTCAGCATGATTGAACATTCCAACCTGGAAGCAAAGCCCCAGATCTGGGTGGGTACCAGTGCCAGTTTTGGTTTCTCCCACATCTGTGTTTTTAAAACCTCAAATGCTTTTCCCTCTGAATATGAAGAATTTGCAAATTTGGGCAACTTCTTATCAAAGCTGAACCAAAGCAAAATTCTCACCCATGGTGGACTTTCTTTGACTGGAAGTATTTAAGCAGAGGCTAGAGGACAGGAGGCAAGGGACCATGTTCTCCGAGTTCCTTTCCTACTCTAAATTTTTGTGATATACACTTGTAAGGCACACGTGGTTAATCTTGGGTTGTTTGTCTTCATTTGCTTTGCTACAGTATTCAAAGGCAAACAGACATCCCGAGCTTGTGATGGAAAAAATGATGGAATCTAGTTTTTCTGGAACTCAGTCCTTTCCTGAAGCCTTGTCTCCCAACAGAGGAAGCCAAGCTACGAAGGCACACAGGTAAGAAAATGACTCTTAATTGGTGTTGGTTCTGTAGTTCTTATGCAGAACGCTTGCCTGCCATGACTAGGGAGGCATTTCCAAGTGCATGGCATTAAGGGAACCTCACTCTGTTCATTAAGCAGATGTCCAGTTTGTCTTGTGTTCGATCCAGAACAGCCATTACTTCTGCTCCGAAGTTGCACTGGCTTCTTCTTTTTATAAAAGGCCTAAAGGAAGTATTAAGGATAGCATCAAAGCTGTAGTCACAGACCAGTGAATGAGACAATTGAATTTGCAGAAACTATTACAATGTAAGATGTTTTCCCCTCTGCCCTTCCTCATCTCTGTTCATGAATTTAATGACTCATCCTTCTGTGGGCAGACTGTGATGCCAGCTTCAAGCTTTTTCATTGTTTATGTTTTCCTCCTCCAGATAAACAGCATTCAGAATGAAAAATGGCTGATTTGCATATTTGTCTGCAACAGCAGGCTGCGATGGTCCGAAGTGGTTTTTCAGTTGTTTGGCACTGCAGTGTTTCTATGCCAAATGTAGAGAAAAGTCTTAATGAGGGCTGATTCGCCTGGGAACATCCATCACTTGTTGACTTATAGTAGGGTCACAAAACCTTACTTAGCCAGAGGCCAAATTGCATGTTGAAGAGCTCTTGGGGGACCAAAGGGTGGAAAATCAGATGGATTTTCTCAACTTGGCCCAGTGGATTCTGCCATGTCCACTGTATATTGGCACCAACTCAATCCGACATGAACCAGATTGTGTGTGTGTGTGTGTGTGTGTGTGTGTGTG